ACTAACAGGCTGAACTGACCTCCCTAAGACCTCCCAAGCCCCCTGGATTACCTAATGAGCCCCAGCACCCAACACGGGCAAACATTGGGGGCTCTCCTGAAATGGGGCTCTTCCTCTCCACTTGCAGTCCGCTTGGCTTCAGCGACAGTGGCACTAAACTGAACATTTCTTACAGGTCCTGTCCTATTGCAACCGGGGTCCCTGCCAGCGCTTTCAATAGCTCCCTGCTGGCTTGTGCCGCAGCTCTTGCTGGAGCGGCGCACCGGGGCGCACCCGCTTGCTGTCACCGCCACTGACGCCTAAATGCGCCCGGTCTTACCCCGCGAACATCTGCGGTACTAAGCGCATGTTTTCTCAGCCTCCCTCCATATACACCCCTGCGGTTCCCCAAAGAGTTTGGATTCATGTTCACTTGCCTGTGGCATGGTGAATAGAGGCCGCAGCTCTTGCTGGAGCGGCGCACCGGGGCGCACCCGCTTGCTGTCACCGCCACTGACGCCTAAATGCGCCCGGTCTTACCCCGCGAACATCTGCGGTACTAAGCGCATGTTTTCTCAGCCTCCCTCCATATACACCCCTGCGGTTCCCCAAAGAGTTTGGATTCATGTTCACTTGCCTGTGGCATGGTGAATAGAGGTTCCCCAGAGGCAGTGGAGTGCGATGGTTAGAGCCAGGCGCTGGGACTGGTTCCTGGTTCTGCCACGAACTGGTTTTGCTGAATTGCGCCTGTTTCCCCAGCTGTATAGTGGAGAGGCTCAGGACGCCTTGCCAGCCTTCGCTAAACAATATTTGTAAAGCGTTTTCGAGATCCCTGCATGAAAACCTTCTGTGGATGTTCACAGGCGGTACGGTACTCGTGTCGTTTTGATGTAATATGGTATTCATACAAGTGTGTGTGGGCGGGCATATTTCAAGTGTGTCTGGAGCATCCTTGATAATATATTAATAGCCCCGAGTAACTTCAAGACAAGAAGCTGAGTCAAAATACTTGGGCAGGAGACTGTGGATGCTCAGGTGTGAGCTGTTCAAGGCAGGGACTGTCTGTCATTGTGGGTTTGTGCAGCTCAGAGCACCTGGTCTCAGCTGGGCCCTCTGCATGTTCCCTATAATACAAAGAATTAATACTAGTACGACTGTGGCCTGCCTAGTTGTAGCCGTGAATTGATGTTGGGTTGGACTGCTGCAGCGCTGACTTGTGTGCGTGTGGAGATCGGCCCGTGAGGCTGATTGACACCGCCTAGCTCCATGGTGTCCGTGCAAGGCTGTTAGGCAGGGGTCTCAAATTCGGTTTACCTTAGGGCTGGTGCCAGTCTTCATATCCTATTACTGGGCCAGTCAGGACCCTGCTGCCGGCAGGGCTCTGGAGGGGGGTGATTTTGCATGCTCCCCCTCCCTCCCGTGCACTCCCCAGCCCTGTCTACCACCCTGTAGCACAACAGGGCTGGAGCTGCTTCTGGCTGCTGTGGTACTGGGGCCCCGGGAAAGGTGTGTGCAGGGCCATCCCATCCGTAGGACAGTTCAACGTGGCTGTACTGGGCCCCGCATTCTGAGGGACCCTGCAGGGGCCACCCCGACCATCCTATGGAGGGGATGGTCCCGCAGACTCAGGTTAGCATTCTACCACCCTGTAGCACAACAGGGCTGGAGCTGCTTCTGGCTGCTGTGGTACTGGGGCCCCGGGAAAGGTGTGTGCAGGGCCATCCCATCCGTAGGACAGTTCAACGTGGCTGTACTGGGCCCCGCATTCTGAGGGACCCTGCAGGGGCCACCCCGACCATCCTATGGAGGGGATGGTCCCGCAGACTCAGGTTAGCATGTGGGGCCCTGGGTGGGCTGAGGCAGGATTCTGGCCCCCTCGCTCTCTGCTTCGCTGCTATCTCCCAAGCCGGCTGGGGTCAGGGATTTCC